CATACATACATACATACATACATACATATATACATACATACATACATACATACATACATACATACATACATACATACATACATACATACATACATACATACATACATACATACATACATACATACCCATACATAAAATAGACGCCCATTTTGTTAGATTACAACTGCATGCACACTCCTCATCGAATTTGCCATGTTTAGCATTCAACGGCTGTTTCTCGCATTCAGAACATCTCTTCTCATCCTTTAAACATAATCAGCTAATGGTTTTGCCTGTAAAAGGTTGACAAACGCCGATAACGAAGACTCTAATGGATTGCTTTTTCGTATTAATCACAAAGAACAGGAAGGAGGGATATAGATTGCAATACACGTAATCTCCTACTTGTTAATAGCAAAACCTGAACGACACCCTGCTTACAGCCGCATTGGGCAGCTGTGGTAGCATACCTTAAAATTTGCTCGGCTTGGTTATTTTTTGTAGTGTAGTCTAATGGCTTTGCCTGTGAAATATCGACAAACACCAATAACTAACTCTTCCTTATATTCTTTCTTATGTGGTAACATATCTTCAATTCTTCCGGGCCTTGTTATTTTTTCTGCAGTTTACAAAAGCATTCTCGTATTGATATGCAGTACCGTTTTAGCCAGAACTCTGCCAGTTAGTGTGAAGTCTGTCACAGTCTAGTCATCACTATCAAGTCTACCAGTCAACACTATGTCTGTTGCAATTTTATACGTAATATTACATGTGATGCCAATGTACGCAGAGATATGTAGATTTGAAAAAGTTAATTGTTTCTTCCGGTTTCAGGACATCGTCAATCAACTTACATGCCAACGTAATGATAACACATATAAATGAAATCATACATGTGTTACTAGAAGATATTCACTGCCATATTTTTAATTCTCAAGATACACATTACATACAAAACAGGAATGAACTTTATAGGAATAATTTAGGTAACGAAAGATACAAACAACCATTTGAGCAGTCAAATAAAACTGTTCCAATTTCAAGCTATCCAGTTTTTAAAGTGTAAAGATAAACATGGTTTGTACACACTAACTGATATTTTCCACCATATTTTTTTTACATTTGACAAAGCAATTTCTGACTTGTCTGTTTCAGATTCATTGTCCCATTGATCTTCTAATAACGACACTTCCATCAAACACATTACACAATGTCAACGTGTAACGTGATACCAACAAAAAGATAATCAATCTACTTAACTCAATAAATAATATACCGAAAATTGTTCACTACGCACGTGCGCATACACACGCTAACTGTACAGAATGTATACATTGTGGCGGCCTGCCGTCATGGGGCCATAATAAAAATATTGTTTGTTTGCCCTCACCCGACCGACCCGCCAAAAAGGGACAGACTGAAAAAATGTTATTGATCTTTTTTTAACAAACTGTATCACTGTACATTATACAAATCTGTAGGCAATACATTATATGTACCAAGCAAAACAAACATTCAACATAAAAAGTATCTCCACACAAGCACACCTGAGCATGTAGACACCGTGCTGAATTTGTAAGGCCCCCGCCCCCAAAAAAAGCCAACCTACCTACCCAAACTTTTCAGCCTGGGTCGGGTGAGGACAAACAAGAATTTTTTAATTGTGGCCTCATTCTGATGGACGCTATAGCGTTACGGACTCCCCGCTGTTGCAGTGACGTCGCAGGTTCTTCTTGTAGCACTGCAGGCTGCAGAGTGACATGCCTGTGCGAGGACACGAGTACTTTCTTACATTCTCGCAGCCATCCACCCCGCAGACCCGGGCCGGCGGCCTGCCGGCAAATAAAAACAACGATGTAGGACTATACGCTCGTTCGACAGGCTCGCATGTAAACGGGCGCGCAGAAAAATAGAGAGAAAAGCGAGAAATGCGGCATTTCGCAACCTCCGCGGCTAACGGGAGCTGGCGTTCCGTCAATCCGAGTAAAGCAGTGGCCAATTCGTACATGAACGTGGAAATGTCACTTCGCCAATATGCACGTGCACTCACACGCGCAACACTTCAACGAATAAACTCTCAGCCTTTTCAAATCGCTAGACGACAACTTTGGATGAGAGACAGCGACGGTGGCACTTCAGCGATGCCTTCCCGTTTCCACGCACTACCGCACACGACGGTGATGAGACAGCGAGGCCGTGCACAATGCGTTACGGCAAAGCCTAGACGCAGCAAACAGCATCGTGCAGAGACAGAGGCACCCAGCTGTGCACCCTGAAGAGGCAAGTGAAGAAAGGGGCAGGAACAAAGAGCCACCGTTGCCGGCCGCGGCGGCGTAAAACACGGTTAGACGATCGGCAAAACACTCACGGCGGCGTGGTTCGCTGAGCCCGAAGAGGAAACTCCATTCCGGCGGGAAACGACAGCGTTATCCCGTCCAGCGTCTTCCTGTAGGACACGAGCGATGTGGTCTTGCTGGACGCCTTGCCCTGTTGGACGAGAACACGCGGACACGCTTAGAACGATCGCAGCCGACACAACTCTTCACTCAGCGGCAATGCCGTCGACTTCCTTCGTTCAAATGCTCACTGAACAATTACGATGGGAAGCGCGACGATTTCGATGTCGACCGTCTAACAGAGATCAAGATTTCTCGCAAGTACTGTCCGCCTTGAGACTAATGCATTTGGCATTTGACGCGAGCAAAGTATCGAGATTTCTGAACAAGATATGACAGTGCACTCCCGACGACAGTTTTCTTTGCAATATAGTCAATAAGTATTTAAAATGAACGCCGCATTTCTCACTTTCTACGGTACCCTGTGGTAACTGTATACTAGCATGCATGTAATGCTATCAGGAGTACATGGGCAGAGATGACAACACATATTTGAAGCAATCTGTAGTTTCTGGCCATCAAACTAGTAGTTCGAGGGTCACGTAGTGACCCGAGTTTGCTAGGGGGGTCCGGCATAGCCCCCGGAAATTTTTTTGATTCTGAGATGCAATTTCCTGCATTCTGAGGGTCAAAAATGACAATAAATTGACAAAAAATGCAAATAATTAACCAAATTTTTTTTTTCAGATTACAGGGAAATTTGTAGTTTGATACAAACTACTGGTCGTAGTGGTGCTAAAGGAATAGAAATTCGTATAAAATACGGATAAATCGTAGTGGTTGGCATCTCTGCATGGGAATGTACTCCTGACACCATCCTTGATATCATGCTTACTCGTCCGCCTCTCTTGCTATCCTGTTTATACAGCAGTCTGTTGACAGTATTTTTCTGCAAAAAAAAATTACAGCAATAAGTTTTAGCTCGGTATGACACCATTCCATCGAGCATAGAGCAAGGAAAGATTACACCACACGGAAAAACTCAAAGGTTTTGATTTCGATTTTATTTAGTTTAATATTGAGCACATCGTGTATCACATAATCAAGGCCGGGCTGTCATATATTAGTAAGTCTAATCTGTATCTAAGGGTCATGCAAGCGTAATGCCAGGTATCGTTTATAGACAAGTATCCATTCTATATACGGAGTATTACTGCATAAATAAACTCAAGGGAAATACCAAAAGTGTTCTTAATAGACAGGTGAATGCTCTACATATGTGTTCGCTAGTACGGGTGTAGACTGTGTGCGGCTGATACGGACGACAACGCCATATCTTCTCCCACGTGGTCAAGTAAAAAGTTTCCAATGCTACCTTTTCTTTCTCCTTCTTCTCGATCGCCATCTCCTTTCTCTTCAGCGACTTCTGCTTGCGCTGCTCAAGTTGCTCCGGAGTGACAACCACAGGCTCCAGATCTATCGGAATGAGCAGCTCTTCCTGCTCTCGACGTAACATATCTTCCTGCCTATCAAGCAGCGACCTCTGTTGGGAAAAATATCAGACAATTTTAATGTCTGCACCACATTTTGCATAAATTTATCGTCGCTGGTGCCACAAGTAATTACATAGCCATTTTGACCATATCTTCACTTAGGAGGATTGGAAGTGAGATATATATAATATATATGGAAGCATGAATGTTGAATCCACGTGCAACCCAATATGCATTCCTTTGAAAAATTATCTAAGAGCAACATTTTTCATTCGTATCACGAGTAAACTAGTCTCAACGTACAAATCAAGTTTGGCCAGATGCACGTAAACCGGGACGTCATGACACTGGAGTATTATCACACAGGAGAACATTCCGGCGATGAGATGCACGGCAATTTCTGTGGGTATTCGTTTCTATGGGTACTGTATACGCCATATTTTTCGTGTACAGATATTTTCGCGAATTGACGGACAATTTCGCGAGCGGCTAATTTCGCGGTTGGTGAATTATGAATTATTCGCGTGTTTTTGTTATTTTCACGGTCGTGGGACGCGTTCGCGAAATTCGCGAAAATTAAACAACCGCAAAATATACAGCGTATACAGTATCCGTTGGGAGAAAAATTGAGCGT